CCTTCTCTTGCTGAAGCAAGAGTAAAATCCAGCTAGCCACCGCTAGTTTTTGTGATTATGTATGTAATTGTTCTTTTCGACGATATCTTTGAAATCATATCAATGAAGAAAACGCGTATTGCATTGAATCTCTCAATTCGAGAGTTGTCAAGCTTTCAATTCGCTGCTCATCAGCTAGTTGATCCATTCAAAGGATTGAATTCCTTTGTATGCTACAAATACCAAATCAAGTTGTTGGGAGCATCCTTGCACCCTGTTCTTGAATTGATCTCACATTGCTCTCAACCATTTTGGTGAGGTGTTCCTCACATGACCTCAGGTATGGAAAAGGGTATTGGTCAGATCCAAATCACCAAATTGTGATGCTTTCATGGCTTAGCCCAGGACTCTGCATGGTTTCTATGGATTGAGGCAAGTCAAAGGACGACGCAGTTCCTGGCAGCGATGGAGGGACCCCCAATGGGACAATAATAATCATAATATGATGGGATTGCTCTTCCCACAAGATCCAACAAGCTGCCCATACCATTCACAAGAATCCCTAGTATCAGGTTGTCGGAATGGGGATCGTATCCCCAGGAAGTCCGCAGGAATGCTATCGACTGGGACGTAAGCTGAGCACAAGCGTGGCAGCAGCACTGATCGTTGCTGGCTTTGTGGAACTTTGCAATCTCTTCTGCAAAGCCCTTACGAAGCCTGCGCCACCCCAACAAGTTATGTAACTTACGAACTTCAGGCTCCAGGATCTCCAGGTATCCCTGGTATGAAATCTGTCAAACTTTAGAATTCTGGCAAGATCTGGCAAGTAGGTCCCTTACACTGCTTCGCCCAGATCTGGTTCTTTATCGAATTCCAGGATCACTGGAGATGGCCTCGTAAAGTCTCAGTTGTGTGGAAACAGGCAAAGCATGGCAAAGCAACAGGCTGTGCAAAGCATAATCTGAAAACAGCTGTGCTCAGATCAAAACGCCACAGTCTCGACTTGTCTGTCACGAATATCTTTGAACAGATCATGGTCAAGTGCAGCGTCCTGAGAGGTCAGGAGTTTTCAAGACCAGGCTGCCCTCAGGACATCTTTTTTCAGAGTGACAACACCCGAGGTCAGCGCAACAACGATTCTCTCTATTGGAGTGAACTTCAGCATCTTCCTAGGGCACTTTCTGCGAAATTCACGGTCACTTTTTCGAAGAAGCACAGCTGTCACCGCTGTCACCGCTGTCCCAAGGGCCAAGCTCAAGCAGATCCATAGACTCCTCTGGTGCATCAGGGAAGCGACTACGCCTTGGTGAAAACAAGTTCTGAACGAAATCGCTTGATCGCAAACTGTTCCAGTTATAAGGATATAAATTAACTTGTGTGTCTTTTATATGTTTGAATATGTTTGCATATTTATCATTTATCATTATATACCTATCTATGCATCTTCTAACTTTGGATAGCTTTGCGAGCATCTTTTGCTTGAGCAGTGGACACGCCCTTGCGCTCACGTCTTGCCAGCGCTCGAATGTGCTGCTTCGCCTCCTACAAAGGACACTCAGCATGAGTTTCAAGGCCGATCTTCAGAATCACAGTTCTGATCTGCTAAGAATGAAGTGATCAAATTCCAAGACCCAAAAAAGGTAGAAAAAAGCTGTGCTGCTTCTGGTTCTTCAGCACGCATTCAGTCAAACTCACTCCACAAAAACGACGCAAAGATTTATCCGCCTCTGTCTGCAGTTGGGCTATCTCTGCCTAGAAACTCTGGAAGAAGTCTTCAATGTCGACTGGGTTGCATTGAAGATTTCGAACTTCCCATCCGGAAAAATAACGGTTCCAATCCGTCCCCATGCTGCAAGCCCTCTTAGCAATCCCGCTTCAGATGGAGTGCCCAAGAGGTCGAAAATGACGTTCAATTGGTCAGTGCCTCATTGGCACCAACATCTGATTTTTCTTGATCGAAGTACTGCCAATTGTCACCACACAAAGGCACAGCGCAGCTGGGAGCAGTACTGCCACGCCTGTAGCCAAATCGCAGTGCTGAGGCCCCACAATGCTGGAGTGCCCAAGTGTCTTACATCAAAAGGTTCATTTGCAACTGAATAGTTCTGTGATTCAGTTTTTCCTTGTCACAACTCAGAGCCAAGGAACGTGTGGAATCGTGGATCCTTTCGATGCTTCCGGTCTGGAGAGAGCGGATAGCACGACGATCCAGGGAAGAGCGGACCACGATCCTGCAGGTGATGGCAATCATTTGCAAGTTAATATGAAAGTCATCGAAGCAGCGTCCTCATGATGAGTTCCTTCCTTGGCTGCTGCAGTTACTGCAGTTGCTTTGCAAATGGAAGTGTTCAGTTTCACTCGTTTCACCACTTGAGCCGCTGCATCGTTGAGCTCGTTGAGCTCGTGGCGAGCATTTGTAGCAGCTCTGCATAGATGCATCCCACTGACCACATGTCAATTTGCTCATTGTAGTTGTCCTGGAAGATCTGGCAGATTGCCATGTGAAGCTCTGCAAAGCATATATTAGACATATATACATGTATGTATAATATTATATAATATATTATATGTATGTGTCAAAGCAAACCCCCAAAGCTCACGATTTCGGATGCACCTGTAGCAAGATAAGCTCTGGCGCTCTGTACCAACCTTTTTTTCCCAGGCGAGGGGGGACAAGGCAAGATTAGCCGAGAACTGATGCCAACTGCGTTTGGAATTCATCGGATTCGGATGTGTTTCACATTTTTCACCTGGTTTTTCAGTTTTTTCCTATGTTGTTCCTATGATTTTCCTAAGGGAAGCACGAGTCACAACGTGCCGTGTCATTGTGCGCTTAGCCTTTGCTGTGTGCGGCACCACGGGTCCACTGACCTGCTCAGGGGATTTCCGGTGCCAAGGCCGATTTTCTATTCCATTGTACATCCCACATATTAATATTATATATGAGATATATATATATTGATCTTCGCATAGAATGCCTTAATATATTGTTGATTCTTGGTCTATGTTCTTTTTTTCTCTCAATTTTTCTTCAACAAAAGCACCATTCCTGTCTCGATTTCCTCTATTTCTCCATGTCCAAAAGTGTAAAATTCCGCTGCCAAAACAGCACGCAACCTCCCCACCTCGCTGGCATCTTCATCGCCACGAGGTGTATTTGGCAGCGGTGCATGTTGCACCTCAGAGCTACGGGGAACATGGATTGAACAGTGGAAACATTCATTATGTTTAATGGATTATTATGGATTAATGGTGGATCATTATGGATTATAGTTTATTGGATTATTAACTATATGTATTACATGTTTGGGGATTAACTATTGGATGAAATGAAATATGATTAAATAATATGTGGAACATGATGATCAATCAAATGAATGTCAGTGGATGTTCAAATGAATGGCTTCAGATTCAATATATTAAATAGAATGCGGATGAATAAGGATGACTAATCAAATTAAGGATTGCCCATTTTCAATATGTGTTTTATGCCAATGAACTGTCAGATTTAGCAAATTCAGCTCGTGGATTTCATCGACTGGACTGCCAATGGCAGCCAAGTTCAGCTGCCCAGTTCAACTGGAGCAATATTGGGACTGAAAATCGGGTACCCTGAAATTCACCTATTACATCGTATTACCACTTAAATAAATAAAATTAATCATTGTTGTTCCTATTGAAAAATTTCCATTTATTGCCAGTTAGGATACCCCATTTTCAGACACGCCCACATTTTCCTTGAGGAACAAGCCGATGAGGTTGCTCTTGAAAGGCCGAAATCGCAAATCTTCACCGAGCAGTCCTATGCGCTGGTTGACATCTACCGCTAACCTTTTTCTACTCAAACAGGCTGTCCTGGTTCACCAGACAGTTTGCTGGTTTTAGATCCTCAGCAGCAATGGCTCTCAAGCGTTCTCAGTAGCTTGGACTACGCAAATGGGTACTTGAAAGATTTTATTATGATGTAACATTAAGAGTTGCTGATTTTGTGGGTCCATGGCACCCTCTCTCGGAAGTGTGGGAGTTGAGTCGTTCCTAGGTTGCTGTTGCCAGCGAAAACGTCTGAGGCCAGAACTCTGTGCCAGATGCCGGCTGAATGCAAATACTTCAGCCCTCAGCATTTATTGGGTACGAGTACTATGACAACCTCAAATTGTCAACCTAGCTTGCCTACCTCGCAAACCTCATTGAGCTTCCCAAGTACCCAGCAATGCAACTGTCATGAATCCATAATGAATCTTGAACTTTGAACTCAGGTCCGAGCCAACCAGCAAGTTGTAAAGGAGAGTGTTGATGTGAAGAGGGGTGAGAAGGACATCGGTTTTGATCAACTTCTTCATGTCAGAATCACAAAGCCTCAGGAGCCAAACATGCCAAACCGCCACGGACAACAGCCACACGGCCACAACCACCAGTAACGAGGTTCGGGCTCCATAACTATGTACAGCTCGTCGAAGCTCCGCATGTGGGATGGCCTCATCACAGTGGCTCGTCCAAACTGATCGAAAAGCGATGAACACAGTTTGGCTCCGACGTGCAAACTGATCCTGTCAGAGGCTTTGGCTCAATGATGTCATAAATCTGCACGATGTGGGGATGACTGAGCCTGCAGTTGAGTGGAGATACACAGTATGCAGTGGAAAAGCTGGTGTCTGCACTGCCTGCCTTGTCATTATGGCCGTTTCCCGCAGGATTCGCTTGCAGTCAACCAAGTCGTCAAACATGTGTTTGACCTGCCAGATTCCCCACGCTTAAAAATACTGAAAAAAACATAGTTTAGAAGGGAGGGTAAGCAGCACACGACTGAATGATTTCTCGAAACCTTCCGCTTCAAGGGCTCGAACCCTCTTGATGGCCACATTCTGATCGCGCTCCTTGTCGTACGCCTCACCTGAGTGCTCACAGAAGGATGATCTCTTCATGTTTTGGCAGTTCAATTTGGCACTTCAGCCCTGAAACATTCTGCATCATGCTAGGCACATCCTCACAGGTTGCATGCAAAGCCTCGTGGATCTAAGGGCTTTGCAAACGCTGCCATAGGACCCAGATCCAATTATGTTCTTGACCTCATAGCGCGACCTCGTTGCACTTTGCAGATCTGCATACGGATTTCGCCTGCTAAGTCTGGGTGTAAAGTCTTCAAGTTCTTGGTGTCTGTGCGATCAAGGACCAGACGAGACGTGCCACTGTCCTGCCCTAGGAATAACCGGCATTTCCGTACAAGCCAAATATCACTTGAGCCATTCCAATCAGAAAGAAATGCTTGTAAGTGATAGCTTTCATGTCACTTTGCAACTGAGGACCAAGGTAATGAATGAGTGTCTCTACTGTATGATACATTGAAGCAGCAAGAAAATATGAGGCATGGAACTGTGTCGTATTGCATCGGTCGCAATGGATACGTACAATTCATTGCCAATCACTCTGCAATCTCTACAGTGATGAAGGCTGAAAAACACAATGCCGAAAAGGAGAACCAGTGGATAGAGATAGAGCACATGACATCATCATTGCCATCATCAACACCATCATATTAATCATCTTGATCAATATTTGGATCCACATCTTCGTCGGATTCGTTCAGCCATCAGCACAGGCAGCACCCCTTCATCACAGCTTGCAAGTGCTGGCTGTCTGGCTTTGTGGACATTTTTTTCCACCGATGGCTCTGCTTAAAAAAAGCTTCGATGGAAACTGCATCTGCACAATCTGCATGGAAATTGCTCAGCACCAGGGCTGTACTCCGCAGAGCGCAGCCAGTGAGGCCAGTGGGGATCCCAAAGTTGACCGCAGCCAAGTCTCTGCCAGTTCATCGGACCAGTTCCACAGCTGCATTGATGCGCGGCGGCCTGAGGCGTGGGTCTTGTTACCTTGGGTTCCTTAACCAACATCACCGTGCAAACAGCTCGGTGCTGCTTACAGTTCTTGACCAGCCTGCCGGGTCCACCATTTTGAAATGTCACTCCTGCCCATTGGCCTCAAGTCAAGAAGACATTGTTTATGTTTCTGACAGAGTACGCTTCATGATACAGTTACTCAGCCCAAAACCATCGGAGAGCATCCATTTCAGCTCATGCCTTGATTGGCACGAGTCTGATCACGCAACAAACCACAAAAAAGGACCACATGAGCGTCTGCAACTACTTGGTTCAACAGATGTTGAATCTCTGAAAAGATTCTGGAAATAGTCAAAAATAGTGTCAAAATGAGGGCTTCACATAATGGAGGTTTTGTTGTGCCACGCACCAGTTGCAGTGATGGCATACCCTGGCACAAGGCAAATGCTGAAGCTTCCACACAAGCGAAAGAAGAAACAAGATGTTGAGAAAGGCACATGAATATGAGTTAAACCGGCCTGTGCAAGTATGTAGTATACATAGTGTATGTATATGCATATGTATATATATATATATCATAGTTTATCAAAATGTTAGTGGGTTATGGATGGTTAGCTTTTGGCTTTTGACCCCCATGGCCATTTGACTTTGATGCAGGACCTGCATCTCAAACTGAGACTGGCGGACGAGGTTGACCAAAGCCTGGGCAACTGTGGACTCGGTCGGTGACCCTCATGGGCTTGTCTCAAAATAGGCTACAACATGGTACAACCAAACCTGATGCTTGATCATCAGCCCACCAAAGTTCCAGTTTTCGGGTATCCCATTGTGAGACAAAGCCATATTGCAATGCTATCCCATTTTTAGATCTTAGGGTAGAATCATCAGCCATAGCCTCTGATTTCCAGGCCTTCATCAGCAACGCCAAGAGCTAGTGCAACTTTTGCACCCCAGCCAAGTTCTCAGTGACCATCTCTCGTCGTCACCGTGCTTCACAACTGACATTGCTGAGACTCCTGCTGTTCACCTCCACCACACCATCAAACCCAGAACCTCAGTCGTCACAGACTCGTCGCCACGTCGCCCACATCGCCTCCGCGATGACTTAGGCAGGGACCGCCCAGGCCTGACTGAGCACTCTGCAGGCCTGACCGCAAATCGCAAAAACACCAGGTGCACCATTGAAGCATTACGAATGTGCTTGGCCTAGACGTGCACCAGGTCCATTGCTACCTCAGACATGCTCAAATCCAATTTACCATCACCAACTCTTGCCAAATATGATTTGTACTTGTCAAGTTCATGAAATGGCATCCCCAGGCATCCCTTGTGCATCGCTGCATCCCCTTGGGCATCTACCAATTCGAAGCTTGGTGGCAGGTATGACCTCGCCAAATCTGACCATCGCTGGGATCACAGCTGAGCTCCGCTGGGCTCCGCACAGCAGGTCTGGGAGTTGGCCGAGGAATCCGATGAGAACCATCCCAGAAGTGGCTGATGGAATCTGCAGGATCCAATGGGATTCAATGGAATCCAAGTGATATCTTTCAACTTGAAGTTTGCTTCAGTGCTTTCAAGCCATTCCTGGCCTTGAATCAAATTTGATGCGGATGCCATACCATCACCAACCTTTCCAACGTCCAGACTCGTGCAGCTTTCAGCTCAGAGTCGCATTTGAGGCAGCGACCATGGCTGGAAGCCGAAAGGGCCGATATTGCTGAAAGTGCTGCAAGGACCAGTCGGTTTCTGGTTTGGGAATCTCCTTGCCTCGGGTGCAAAATCGTGTAAACCCCCAGACCTGGATACCTCGATGTCCCTTGAGGAGCCAGCTTCGCCAGCCGCGCCGAATCTGGGACAATGACTTTGAAGCACACTATGTCAGTCAGCACATCCGTTGCAACTGAGTCGGGTGAATTCAACAATCCGCAGGCTATCAACCGGCAAGGTATACATCGCAAGGCCATCCCCACCTGCCCCGACAATTCTCCCACTTTTCTATGAAGCGTCTGTGCTTCCAGCAGCCAGCCCTGAAGCCTTAGAAGCCGTTTTTTGAAAAAAAAAAAAAAAGCATTTGAAGCTTAGCAAGGAGGTTTTGAGGCGGCCACTCGTTCAGCCCGGGCCAGGAGATATCTGCCTTAAATCTCCAGGTAGCCAACATAGAAGGGAAATCAGATCTGCCATCTGAGACTACGGCGTAAATCCTTGGAACTCTGGCTGACTCACCTTGATGAAAAGGAAACACATTAGTTGAGAATGCAAGCGAAAGACTGCAATGTCTAGACATGGACAGTTGTCCACACCATGAACTTGGTCTCCTACCCTCTTCCCCACCCTTTTGCCTCGCAGTGCTTTCAGTTGAGGGAAGTGCTCAGCTTCAACCAAGAACCTCCCACTGCTGAGGGTCTGACTCGTCTGAGCTCTCCGGGCGCTGAGATGAGATGACTGCACCCAGTTTCACTCCGACCGGAAGACCTGTAGGGACTGTCTCACTGAAACTGCCGCATTGAAACTGCTCCACTGAAATTGTACACCTTGGGCTCCGCGCTAAAGTTGAAATACTTCGCTTGTGCGCGAGGACCGAGCACCACTTCTGCTCGCCTCAGAGACGCCCAGCTAAGCTGGTCTGCCACACACACACACACATCCAGGGAGCTCTGAAAATTAAACTGCTGATAATAGGCTTCCAAACTGCTCCCACTCTTTCTCTGCTTTGGAGTCCCTGGGAGCCTGCACCCATAGGTGGATAATTCCAGTGTCTGAGAAGTCTTGACACGGAAAGCAGTGGTGTGAATGTACCTGCATGGATGTCTCGAGGTTTACATCTAGGCCGGTACCATCAGGTTGCCTCGGTGTAGTTCACAAATCACTGAAGATTTCCACATTTCGGAGTCACCTCTTCCATCAATGAAGTTGCTTCGAATGCATGGAACCAATGACATGTATTTTCAAAACACACACAAATAGATACAAATGGAAATGGCAGACCACCCCTGGCACCAACAGTAGCAATGACATCCATGAGCAATGGGGGTCTCATCAGAATCTCAAGGGAAGCCAAGCACCCAGCGTGTGTTCCCCGTCCGGGAGCATGGCCTTGGACCTGTCCAGCGTCAAAGAGTGGAGCTCCTCTCAGAGTTCCCACAAGTGGCTACGACTTGTCTCAGGGACAAACCATCGCATGGAAGCTCCATAACCTCAACACAAACATGGAGTTTACATGGCTTCACTGTGTAGTTTAAGCACTCAGAGACAAACTGACAGTCTGACAATCCTGTTTTTTGCAGTTCAATAAACAATCTTGGCATCAGCCTCAGGATCACGCTCCTTTTGGCAATGTGGCTTTGAAAGCTGGGTTGCCACCCTCGAAGTTTGGGGGCTAGCGATGGCACACCTTGGACTTTTTATGACTTTTTGTTGAACAGTGAAAAATCACCAGCTTTGGAAAGCTTGATTAACATTGATTAACATTGATTAACAGCATCGATGTTGTACCCACAATAGCAGCATTCGCTTGACATGTTGGGTCGGCGCCTGACATGGCTTGACATCTCAGCTCTGGACGCTTTTGATATCCAAGCCGCCAGTCTTCTGGCCTTACCGTTTCAAGGGTCATGTCGTTATTAGATGTCCTGTTCCATGCCACCAACTTGTGCTCAAGTTGAAGAATCTTCATGTAGAAAGAAAACCAGAATAAACCTACCAGAATTGGGGATGATATGTACAACATTTACGATGTTGATCAACTGTTGATCATTGATGTTGTCACATTACTCGTAGTACTGTATCTGAAATTATTCAAGTTCCAAGTCCAAGCCGGGGCCAGGGCACGGTCAATTTGCCTGTCGAAAGCCACAGCTGGTTCCAACGGTTCCAACATCAAACTGATGCCACCACTTTCACAGCGACAGCAAAGCCTTGAGTGATGAGTCCGGCTGCATTCAAGTGCAGTTCGCCACTGCGCAAAGCACCGGCCTCTAAGACTCTAAGCATCTGAATCCAGCTCCCGCAATCTGAATCTTCGCTCGCTGCTTAGCTGCGGACTCCAGCGTGAAGATGATATTCGAAAGGGGACACCTGACAGCAGGTCCACTGGAAAAGGAAGAGTCAGCAGTTACTGATCTGGCCAACATCCCTGACATATTGACACCTCTTGCATGTCGTGCTCGAAGCCGTCCACCCACCTGGGCAATTCGCTGTGGCTGAACGGCCACCCTCGAGTTGACAGAAATGCACAAAAGCTCCGTTTGCGAAATCCAGGACCGCTGACCAATCTTCAGATCCTTCGGCACCGCTCTCATCCTGACGCCGTCTGCAATCTTCTTGGACCAACTAGTTGCTGCACAAATTAGAAGCGCCTCTGGTCCAACATTGGCTGGGGTGGACATCCTTGCGGGACCTGAAAAAAAAATGAAAAAAGAGCGAGCCGGCTTAGGTCCCCGTGGGAAGCGTCATGACCTTGACATGTCAGTTGGGTGGTGGAAATCCAGCAATCACGACCAAATCACCCAAATATTAATATGCTTCGCATTATCTAAAAATGTGCAAATATGGTAGCACCCATGGAGTTGTTTGGCGATTTATAAGGTAGCCATCCATACATCAAACAGTGCAGGCTGCACCTGGCACTTCGGTGAATGCGGTCCATTGGATGTTTGGCGCCTCCTGGCCCAAGTGGCCTGGCGACACTTCCGCCACGGATATCATGGCTGCATATGTTAACCCCACCTGGGGGGATGACCATCCCCTTCTAGGGAAATATATGGACCTGTATATTATTATTATTACTATTATTATTATTACTATTATTACTATTATTATTATTATCATTATTGTTTATATATATATATATATAGATAGATAGAGATAGATAGATAGAGATAGATAGAGATAGATAGAGATAGATAGAGATAGATAGAGATAGATAGAGATAGATAGAGATAGATAGAGATAGATAGAGATAGATAGAGATAGATAGAGATAGATCGAGATAGATCGATAGATGGATGGATGGATGGATGGATCGATAGATAGATAGATAGATAGGTAGATAGATAGATAGATATAGATAGATAGATAGATAGATAGATAGACATACATAGATAGATAGATAGATAGACATAGATAGATAGATAGATAGATAGATAGAGATAGAGATAGAGATAGAGATAGATATAGATATAGATATAGATAGATATATAGATAGATATATAGATAGATATATATCCAAGACCCCCATGGCATCTTGGATCTTGGATCTTGGATCCATGAATTTCACAGAAATAAGTGATTGCAATCGATTGCAATCACTTATATAACAGAAGCCTAAATTATCGTTAGAGGGGGGGGGTACCATATATATATAATGTTTTTTTGACCAAGCAACCTGTGTGCCGCAACTTCCTGGAGAGGGCGATCGTTGCGACAGCAGCGCTGACCTTGGATTAAATTTCCGCTGTGGACTTCTTTGACGCTTTCATCAATATTTGAGCTTCCGGCAGCAACAACTCTCACTCCATGTGCTGGCCTTTGGTGCTTGCAGAGATAGTGACATAAACCCATCGACCCCACAGCCAGATTTCACAACTCGCAAGCAGCAAGAACTTGACCTTTCTTGAAACCGTAGGGAATGAATGAATTAATCATATTATATATATATATATTATATATATATATATATACATACACACACGGTTTTTTGTATATATATATATATATATGTAAACAAATGTTCAGATCAGGCTCATGTCATTTGCTGCGAATCTTGCTAACTGCATGATCGTCTCAGCATTCTTAACAATTTGTCAGCAAATCAGTGTTTTCCAAACTCTAGCAGTGTCTGCAGTGTCTGCAGAACCTTTGGTCTTTGCGGCCAGGTTTTTGCAGTCTTTCTGTGTCACAGAGACGCTTCTGCCTCGCAGCTGGTCAGCTGCACTGACCAGAACCACAACTCAACAACACACCCTCGATTGGAAGATTCGCACTGTACACATGTGTGACAGAAACTGATGGACCAAATGGGCACGGATCAAAATATATCACAAGGGGTACCTGGGTACCAAATGGGTACCAAATAAAGCCGTTGGTTAGTTTTGAAAAGATCAATATCCATCCGTGGTTTTCAAGGCCTTAGATTTTGACCCAGGCCCAGACCATGAAACGGAACGGACAAGGCCGGCCCCTCCATGCGTGACACAAATATCTGCCCTCCGTTGGGCGCGCATACATTGGTAGATTTCCAAGACACAAAGTGTGAACAAGAACTGGAATCTGAACCATTCGTGTCACTCAATTAGAAATGCATGCAAAATCGGAGCATTCTGAAAAGAAGTCCTCGACTAATTCAGAAAAAAAAACTGTGTACTGGGAAACCGATCTTCGGTTCGAAAAAGAAGTTTACGCCTTCCCTCACAAGACCTGGACCGCTAACTTTGGAACGGTTGTCTCAGCTTGCATCGATGCCGCGAGCATCTACAAAAATCCCTCATTTCTTTCTCATCCCATTTTACTCTATGTTTTACTCTTTTGAGGTTACTCACTCAATGTTTTTTCCTGATTCCAGTGGAACTTTACTCTCTTTCGGATGTGAAGCCATCACGGCTTCGCTTCTTGGAAGCCATCCGCTTGTAAAGGCCTAAGACTGGAGAAGATGCCAAGTGGAGTCCACATGCTTCTCGGGAATGTAAGATCTCAGGTGCTCAGGCAGAGTCTGTTGAGAATGAAGCATCGACATTTCCAAGGGGCTTGGTAAGTAGGATCTCCACACATGAGCACAAACGAAGTATTCGCTCGCCCATTTCGGAAAGGCATCTCGAGGCAAAATGCCAGTTGCTTCGACTTTCTTCTCTTCTCCCTCAATGCTCTCTCGGAGAAAATACATGCTTCCATCTTCACAGACATTTGCCCAGCTAAACACCTCTCCTGTCCCGGTCAGAGTTGGCAAAGCAGGAGTGCTCAAGACACAGGCTTCTCCGCGATATTGCATAAAGCAAAGGCCCGAGAAAGGGGCAAAAAGCACAGACATGGATGTCCCCACGTCCGCGGGGGCACAAATTTCGACCTAGGTGAACGGGATAGTGGCATGATGTGGCATGACCAAACACTGGGCTTGCTCCATCCCTGGTCCTGGAACCCCCTGGTACCATTTGGAGCCCGTCACATGCGGGGGATTCAGTTTGACTATGCTTGACTTCAACCCACCTCTGGATCCAAGCTGCCCCGATGCAGAAGGCAGAGTCCACATCAGCCGCACTGGCATCAATCTTCACTTGCATGCCAACTGCCAGGGCTTGGCCCACATAGCAGCCAATGGTGAGAGGCACCGCAACCTGCCACCATGACCCACATGACTCCGCAGCTGATGGCAACGTATAGCAACTGCAAGTGAAATCAATTGATGCCCAAGGTTTGGGTAATCGTGATTCCGCACTTAAATGCTCTCATGAAACTGCGGCAAAGGCTGATAAAAAACCTCAAGTTGCTCTTCCTTCCCAGTCAAAACTCAATGTTTCAGCGACAGCCCCAGTGCCTCTGTGGGTGTTTTGATGTCTTCGAAGCTAGATGACTGCTCGTCATGGGGCATGACCTGTGCTTCTTTGTAGATGTTTCTAGGGATTGGAAAGTGGTGTCAATTCCTTGATGGAAAGCGAACAATTTGTGTTGTTCATAATATGTATGTATGCATGCATGCATGCATGTATGTATGGATGGATGTATGGATGGATGCATGGATGGATGCATGGATGCATGCATGGATGCATGCATGCATGTATGTATGTATGGATGGATGCATGGATGGATGCATGCATGGATGCATGCATGGATGCATGCATGGATGCATGCATGGATGCATCCATGGATGCATCCATGGATGCATCCATGGATGCATCCATGCATGGATGCATGGATGCATGCATGGATGCATGGATGCATGGATGCATGGATGCATGGATGCATGGATGGATGGATGGATGGATGGATGGATGGATGTATGGATGTATGGATGTATGGATGCATGGATGCATGGATGTATGGATGTATGGATGTATGGATGTATGGATGTATGGATGTATGGATGTATGTATGTATGTATGTATGTATGTATGTATGTATGTATGTATGTATGTATGTATGTATGTATGTATGTATGTATGTATGTATGTATGTATGTATGTATGTATGTATGTATGTATGTATGTATGTATGTATGTATGTATGTATGTATGTATGTATGTATGTATGTATGTATGTATGTATGTGTGTATGTGTGTATGTGTGTATGTGTGTATGTGTGTATGTGTGTGTGTGTATGTGTGTGTGTATGTGTGTGTATGTATGTGTGTGATGTGTGTATGTGTGTGTGTGTATGTGTGTATGTGTGTATGTGTGTGTATTGTGTGTGTATGTGGTATGTGTGTGTATGTATGGTGTATGTGGTATGTATGTGTGTGTATGTAGGGTGTGTGTAGTGTGTATGGTGTGTGTGTGTATGTGTATGTGTGTATGTGTATGTATGTGTGTATGTGTGTGTGTGTGTGTTGTGTGTATGTGTGTGTATGTGTGTCTGTATGTGTGTATGTGTATGTGTGTATGGATGTGTTGTGTGTCTGTGTGTATGTATGTATGTATGTATGTATGTATGTATGTATGTATGTATGTATGTATGTATGTATGTATGTATGTATGTATGTATGTATATGTATGTATGTATGTATGTATGTATGTATGTATGTATGTATGTATGTATGTATGTATGTATGTATGTATGTATGTATGTATGTATGTATGTATGTATGTATGTATGTATGTATGTATGTATGTATGTATGTATGTATGTATGTATGTATGTATGTATGTATGTATGTATGTATGTATGTATGTATGTATGTATGTATGTATGTATGTATGTATGTATGTATGTATGTATGTATGTATGTATGTATGTATGTATGTATGTATGTATCCACATACACATACACGTACACGTACACATACACATACATATACATATACATATACATATGCATGTGATATATACATATATATGACAACATATGTTCCATGCTCAATGCGATCCTGCTTGATATCTGTGCATAGTGCATCGATGGGTGCCATTGGATGCAGGCACAGCTCATTACTCAAAAAAATGTATCACAAAACTCATTTGGAGTTTTCAATATCTTTCAGTCTTCACTTGGGCAATTTTCTTGGATTCCGGATGCATTTGGGATGTGTATGATGTGTGATGGCTGCCAAGCTGCCACGGCGCTGCAGAAGGATTTCTCCACCACCTCCGGGACCCAAGCCTTGGGTGGGAAGATGGCCCGCCTGAGCAGCCGCAGTTCCCGCAGGAAGGCTTTGCCTCGGATTCCTTCTTCCAACAGCTGATGGATCACCGAGTGACCCGATGGGCCCCACACAGGCACCTGGTGACGAATGCGTTCAGCAGCTTCATCCCAAGCAAAGGACACAGATTCTTTGGAAGGGAAGAAATGAGCGGCCACTTCGCAGCGAGAGATCTGGGGCAAATCCAGAAAGCTGCTGATGTGGACACAAATTTCACCAAGTTCGGACAGCTGCATGGGGCGCTTCATGGCCACTGCTTCAAACTAAAATCTTCGGAAATCGGCCGTGCATTGATTCCATCAAACTAGCTCTGAATCCGTCAAATGAATTCGAATGTATCTTGCAGCATACAAGTGTTGCTCCTGTATCCATATTGCACATCTGAGGGTTGTCTAATTTGATCCTGAACGCAGTGGTCAGACCGAAACATGACTTTAAAAGGATCATCAAATGGCTTTGTCTGAAAATAGGGGCGGTTCACCATCATTTCCCCCATCAAAACTGCCATTTTATTGCTATACCTGCAACTTACCTGTATGCCCCATCTTCAGACACCCACGCTACCATGTCCCCAGCGGAAACTGAAGGATCTGAGCGGCTCAGAGCCCAGCCTCAGCCTTCGGGGGTTTGCCATTGCGCAATCTGTCTGCTGTGTTTTTTCGAAACCCCGAAACAAAGAAAAAGTACGAAAAGTCCTGGGATGTCCTGGGATGTCCTGGGATGTCCTGGGTGCAGTTGGTGCAGTTGTCACATGAAGTGCACAGTCATTTGTTTAGTCTCTAGGCTTAGGTGAGATTTGGAGAGTGTCCTACCAACACTCAAGAGTCTCAGGAGACAAGGAAATAACACAGGCACAGATGCGATATCAAAAAGGCGCTACCCGTGCTGACAGCTCAGCCAAAAACGCTGCGAAACATGTGTACAATGTGTACCTGTGGATACTTGCAAAATTATACTCTGTCGTAGATCTCACATACAGCTTTGTTCATTTGTTATCCATTGTGTTTCCATTGTGTTTCCATTGATTTCCACTCTTTTTCCATGTTGTATGACAAGTACTTCATGAACCGGCCATCTGTAGAGAACCGTCAAGACTTCCGGCGAAATCCTGCGTAGGCTTTTTGTGCGGCCTTTCTGTCCGTGACCTCCACATTTGGGACCGGTCGGCATCATGCGGCATCACTCATCGCTGCGTCATCCTCATCATCCTCCATTTGCGCTTGAAACCTTGGTTGCAAATATGACTTGCATTATCAATGGCACTCCACATGTGGATTGCTGAAACATGTTGAAACCATCAATTTTTGCAAAGTTCCCACAGAAAAGCTGTGGCCAAAGGCCAAGGCGTCTTGCATGGGGTTCTGAGAAGGGTACCCGCGCTTTTCGTAAATGTTGTAATTCATGACCTTCAAGAGATTGCAGCGCATAAGCCCGAAATTTAAATTTGTTCTCTGACATTGAGCAATGCAGTCAAGTCGGTCCTTCTCAATCAAATCCACGTGCGTCAACATCATTCGGCGGCAGCAATACCTGCAGGCTGGGCTGCACCAAGCCGTTTCGTTCCAGTATGTTCCAGTGGCAGCTGCCTAGTGAAGCCAAGCTCATCCAGAACCTGCACATGGCCACACTGACACGCAAATTTCCTTCACTTCAAGGCTTCAAGCTAAGTTTTGTTGCCTCCTTTTCGGGTGCTGGCTTTGGCTTTGTCTTGTCCTCCGGATGTTCTCTGTCTTCCTTCTCCTGTTCTTCAGCTTTTCTCAGCAGCATCTGCAAGTACTTCTCCCACCTGTGTACTGTTCAAAGTCTTGAGGCAGTGACCTTTGATGAGAAACAATATAAAGGTTATAAAGCAACAAAATACTGCGATTGCAGCCTGTTGCCAATCAGCTTGCCACATGAGTAGCAGCCTGTAGATGGCAGGTGCGATGCTGCATTTGTTCCCCAAACTGGAACTGAGGACTGCACGGATCGGGATAATCATGGCTGTGCTGTCTAAGCACCGTCAGCTTGTTAGCTTGATCCCGATACTGCAGATCGCAGAAAATCTATCAGAAAAGCTCTGCCAATGCCAATAGAAGCTGAATTGAAAACATTCTATAAATTAGAAGTCTACTCTGACACCTGTTTGAGCCAACAACCAAAGGATTGCCCCAGAGGCATGGCATCCTTGCATTGCATTTCTCTCAGGCATGCTTGCGCTGTATTTTGGCTGCCAGAGGAATGTCGCTTAGCCTTCAGGTGGAGCCTGTGCAGTGGACCAGCAAAAGGGTGATGTTTGGACCAGAAAAGTATCATCGACCCAGGACCCAGTCTGTCCTTCTTGGCTTCCTTTGCTGCTTTTTTCTGGAGCTTCTTCTCCTTCTTTTTGGCCTTTTTTTCCTGCAGCGCATGATCTTACAGTGCCAAGAAAGGTGGCAAAGGTGCGTCCTGTAGCCAACCAGCATAAAGCTGTCAAGCAGTTGGCCTTCTTCTTTTGTTTTTTCTCTTTCTTCTTATCCTTTTTCTTCTTCTTGTCGCTTGATGACGAGGAACTCGAAGATGAGTCTTTTCCTTCTGCTTTCCTTTCGCACAACAGATTCTGACAAGTGCTGTGTCAGTCCACTACTAAAACATACTAAAACCCCAAAAGAACATTGTCTGGCACACGCATTAAAAGCACATCCATGCGAGTTCACACAGTTCACACTGTCCTCTTGAAATATGCCTTCAGAGCCGCTTTGACAACACTTGCATCATGTCCTGGCGCAAAGATTGCTTTGGAGACAGAACGTCCAAACACAGACCATGGGTGCGTGCATGTTGAATTCCCCATGGCAAGTCCTTTTGACAGCGTCTCCAGGTCTTGTGCGCTTACCTGACTCTGGAGGATCAGGAGAAGATGTAGTGTTTGAATAATTTAATATAAGAGTATAATATATATATATGAAACAAGAAACTAAGCAGCTTTTCCATGGAGCAACTCACGCAACCTGACATTTCCTGCAAGTCGTCTGAGTGGTGCTCTGGATTGTTCAGTGAAGGAGGCTCTGCTTCCTGGTGCTGAAACCAGATTCACGTTGACATGTTGCTGTGATTTGCTGTGTACGTTGAAACATGTTGAAGCCATCCTCCACAAGATCGTAGTGTTTGCCCCCAGCACCGCCTGACCAGCACCTCAACCACACCCAATCTGTCGATTGGAAGCGTGGCGAAACGTGTCTGGGCTTGCGACTCCCTGGCAGCATGACCTCTGGCCTGAGCTAGGTCTCTTGTTTGGTTCCATGAGTATTGGAGTGACTCCAAACATCTGGGCTCACTTCGAGGGCTGGTGATTTACAAAAACAGATTTACATCACATCTCTAAGCAGGTCACGCCACACCGTGAGCACGTGGTGGCCTGGATGTGGTAATCGTTTCACTCAGCGAAGCGGAATCGTTTCCACATGTTTCCACTGAAGCACCTGCCTGGATAGCACCAATGCGGATTGGTTCCGGCGCAGATTTTCCGGATCCTTTGCGACCTGTGTCCACCTGACAGGGGGCACCATGGGGCACAGATCCAAGAGGAATGTCACTCGAAGGTATTCGAAGGTCACCTGGACATTGCCGGGGTCTTGATCTTCGCCATCTTTCTGACCCACAAATCTCATATCAAGACCTGGGTGTCGCCAGTGTCTGTGACACATGAAACTGTTCAAAAGATGCGAAGGATTGCTAAGGACTGAAATGGTACAACAACTGAGGCGTCTTCTGAATTTTCCTTCTTCTTCTTTGACTTCAATGACCTGCCAGCAGGTGCATGAAACAGGATCCGATTGACTTTTTTCAAGGCTCTCCCAGCCCACCTTGACCCAAACAATGTCATCTTGGGACACAACATCCTTAGCTTTCAGCCAGCTTCCAATTCATGCACGGCCGACTTGCATTTGTGTGAATCCCCAAAAACACTCGTCTGGAGCAGAATGTGTGTGTGTGTTTAAAAATCGTCTGGAGACTATTCCGCAGTTCTGGGGAGCCAAGGCAAATCTGCAAGAACAAACAAGCCGGGACCAGCAATACAGTACCCATTCAAAGAATCACCATTGAGCCTGAGTCTGCAGCTGCTACAGAGTCAACTCGGCCGGATGAGGACAAGCGGGATATATGCAGCAAACCATCCTGCAACTTGGGGTCCCTGTGTAAGTCATCAAGTCAGCACTGAAGTGTTGGAAAATTGGCCTATTGACCCATGACTGGGATTGACTGGGTAGATACAACTGATACAACCAACTTGTAACTAGCAGGTGCCCATGACTGTAGGAATTCTCATCATCCCGCTGCCCATCTGCATCTTGCCACTACCAGCAATATATAGAGATGTTGTTCTCTCCTTGTATGTGGATCCGTCACCAAGGCGAACAAAAGCGCCGTAGTCCTGTACCTCATGCGTCGAGCACAACAAAGTTCACAGACATCAGAATCATGACAACAATTGTCCAAATATTCCCTGTCTCACAAGTGCCTGTTGATATCATCCACTTGAGAAGTAATGCTTAGAAGTGGTCTAAAAGAGAGTTTGGAAACTGAAATGGTGAGCAGTTCAGCAGAACAACCTTTTGAATCCAAGTTGAGTCGCACCCTCACAATCGTGCCCTTGTGGATGGAGTACAGCTTCGGAATCTCTCTACCAGTGGTTCGCGCTGGACGATCCCTGCCACACTTGCCGAATTTGAAACAACAAAAGGGTAAAATCAGCTCCCAACTCCAAACACTCCAAAGTATCAAAGAATGGGCAGCTGCGACTGTTCATATGGGGATGGGTCAAAACCCTATCCCCCTGGTGAACATCAAAATAGCTGGTAAATGGATGTTCATCCCCCTAAAAATGGTATGTATAGGTCTAGGTATTGATCCATAGCCATATTTGCCTCTTGATAAAGTCAGGACGTCGGTCATCGTCGCGTCCACGTCGATCGTCGTCCCTCCTCTTTCGATCATCATCCCGTCGACGGCGATCGTCGTCGCGTCCACGGCGGTCGTCGTCCCGTCGTCGATCCTCGTCTCGCCTCCTGTCATCTCGCCGATGATCACTGTCTTGCCGCGAACGAGTCCTGAAATCACAGATGCATTGTCCAAAACACTTGGGAAAACCCCGGAGTCCAGTTCATCATCTTCACCAAAGAAATCACAATTCAGGAGGATGCAACTGATATAACCATATTATATAATCACATGTCTAAATATGTCTAAATTAGAATTCCAAATATCTCTGTTTTTTCTCTATTTTCGCCTAAAACTCGTTGCATCTTGGCCGCTCTCTTTGTTCAGGTGACGGGCTCCGGCCACGGCCTTCACCGGTGATAAACCTCTTGGAATTTGTGGCACATTGTGGCACTATGGATCAAAATTATCATAAATTATCAACCTTCCAAAACTTAAAATGGATGGTTTCAATCTTCAACTATCTTCAACTGACCAATCTTGTGAGTCTATTGGTACACATTGCTGCTACAAGAAAACAAAATGTTCAGGAATCATCTGTCTCGCCACCCTGCGACACCTGCAAAGAATCCATCATCATCGTCACTAAACCTGGACCGAAGACCGGCCGGAAAGCTGGAATCACCATCACTATGATCATTATCATGGGATTATGATCATTATCACTGTTGTGACATGGGTACGGGTCAAACTTGGGGACCTCAATAATTGGATTATTGCAACTTAGATACCTCAAGAATGTTGAATAGTTGAATGGTTTATACTATTTATACTAAACATAGATAAACAATAGCCTAGAATCTGCGGTCACCCGAGGGTCTCAACTTTTGACTGAGGCCATCACATTGGACTTGCAACCCATCAGGCGCCACCGATGACGAACCAGATGTGTTTCATTCGCAACTCCAAGTGAACTCGGGATTGGATTCCAGCAATTTTCCACCAGTATTTTTCTATTAGCAATTGTCCATGTTCAACTTGTTCAACCTTTGGTTCAGGATGGGATTCTAAGGATTTCTTGTTGGATCAATACACAAACGGCCAACTTCCCAGTGCCATGTTGTATCCAACGTCCACAGTTATATGAGTTTGAAATTTTGTCGGTTGTAATCGTCTTGCTTCGCTTGCGATAAAGTGTGCACCTCAAAGTATAGTGTAGTGATACATTGTTTCTTCTTTCAGTTTTGTCATGTCTGACTTCTCCCCAAGCGGGCCTCAATCCGACTTAGTTTGAATTAGGTCTTTGCACGCTCAAGCCACAAGCAATTAGCGTCGTAACAAAATCGTCTCTGAAGAAACTGGGGGGCAAAATTGCTGGTTGAATTCCAGTTCATGACGACAGTAGATCTACGGCAGGTCAATGGGTTCCACATGTTTCAACAAGAGTTGCTGCAAGCGCCATTTTTTTTCCTCAGCGACGGCGGCGGCGTGCACCTCCAGGTCCTGACACCCCGCAAGGTGAAGCAAATGGAGGAAATCTCAGGACAGCTGAGGATAACTCTGTAATTATGGGCAGGACATGAACATAGTATATATATATATTATATTATATTATGTTTTTTAGTATCAAAAAATATATTGTAGTTTTTCAAAATTATGAAATATAATATGATATTAAATGATATGATATTAAATCAAAATATCCTATATATATATATTAAATTATATCATATCATATTATATTATATTATATTAAATTATATCATGTTAGGTTAACTCAAATTATTTTATATTATGTTAAATCAAATTATCTTGTATTATGTTATATTATATTATATTGTATTATATTATATCATATTATGTTAAATCAAATTATATTATATTATGGTAAATCAAATTATCTTATATTATGTTATATTATATTATATAATATTATGTTAAATCAAATTATCTTACATTATGTTATATTATGTTATATTGTATAATATTAAATTATATTTTGTTAAATCAAATTATATTTTATTATGTTATAGTATATTTTATATGAAAATATTTTCAATATATATATATATTATATATTATACATTATATGTTATGTGTTATTTACGATATATATATATGATATTATATTTGAAATATTACAACATATTATATAATATCATTTAAAGTAATATTATATATATATTATTTTTAATATCTTTGAAAAAATGAGTGTATATATATAATATTTTAAATGATCTAACATATATCATATGTTATTTAGTAAATATACGTAATATAAAGTAAGCAATGTTTACATAGCATCAAAACGTTCGCTGTGGTGACAAGCTCGAAAACGTGTTTTCGTTTACAAACTCTCTGTGAAATTCACCATACATGAAGAATGAGAAACACTGCTGCCGCAAGCGCTCTTTTGACAATGGGGAGAATTGGTCTCACTGTCATGCATCGCGCTCTGGCTTCGGGTAGGCACGTGCCAGAAGATGCAACTGGAAAAACGTAACGTTTGACAGCGATGTCACTGAAAATTGAGGTCGATATTGGGTAAACGACCGTGCCGTTGCATGTAACGTTCAAGGCCACGGCACGCTTCAAGCAACTGAATGGCCAGGAGGAAGTTCAAGTGGATACGCAATTGGCGGATGCCTGTGCGGATCTGCATGTAGTTGTCCTCATGTGGGACTTCAAATTCGTCAAGGTGGTCGGAAATGTCACTGATGAACTCCTCCGCGGTCTGCAGTTGATGAAGAAAAGATTGAGTGACGAACACTTGTTGAAATAGAGCTTGCAACGACGGTTCAGCCATGTGAATGACCAAGTGGAGAAAGAAAGAAAGTAGATCCACTTGGATCATGTCAATCATTGCATCACTTGAAGCAATGAACTTTGGGATGGGATAAGAATGGGTGGGACGAAAATTTTGAAAGTGAACATGATGTTGATGATTGTGAATTTGTTCATGTTTACTTTCATGAGTTGATTGACATGTCAAGTGTGAAATTGACATAAAGACATGTGTCTTGGCACTTGCCATGTCGTCCTGTGGCACTCGCCACATTGCTTCACTTGAAGCTTGAATCCAAAATTGCAACATAGTGAAAATTCGACAAATCATCAATCAACTGAAATCGTAAAAGGATCTTTAAGAGATGACCACTGACAGGATTCCACTGCTTCCAGATTTCAAGATGTTCACTGACAGGATTCCACTGTTTCCAAAATTCAACACGTTTTGGTTTCTATCTGATAATCCCATTTCTAATGTTGTTCAAAGTCACCACAGGCATGTAATGAAACATTACATTCTCCACGTTTCGTAGTATGTAAAAATCTATCATGTTCCATGAGAGAATTCTTACATAGCATCAAAACGTTCGCTGTGGTGACAAGCTCGAAAACGTGTTTTCGTTTACAAACTCTCTGTGAAATTCACCATACATGAAGAATGAGAAACACTGCTGCCGCAAGCGCTCTTTTGACAATGGGGAGAATTGGTCTCACTGTCATGCATCGCGCTCTTACCCCGGGATATTGATGGCATGACTCCAAATGGATCTGAAGTCTACTTGTTCCCTAGTCAACCCTTTCCACACGGCCACTTGGCTACGTGAGAGAACATCGCTAGGGTTGGACTGGCTTGGCACTCGCTCAAGCCACAAGGGGCAAGTGTGGGATTCTTCCAGGAAGAATATCCGAGCCAGTAACTTGTTGCAAGGACAGTTTTTGGACCAAGTTTTTAGAAAGCTACCGCGAACGGATTCGCTATCTGTGAAAGCCACAACTCTGTGGCCTTCCCACACGGGACCCCAAGTTTCGACGGCGGTCAGCAAGGCAAGCATCTCCAACTCCTGGATGATGTTCTTTTGATTCTCTTGTTTCACCGATTCAATGAAATTCAGGTCAACTTTCTCACTGAAGAATTTTATTGCCTGTCCAGAGCTATTGTATAAGGCCCCACCGATTCCGGTGTACCCATCATCATCGAAAGATGCATCAACATACACATGAAAATGATCCGTCAAGGTTCCCAAGAGCTTCCTGGGCCGGTTGGCGCGGATCAGCTCCTCGATCTGCCTCAGGGCGTGTAGAGTGTCATCATCAAGTTTACTTCTGCAGCCTTTGATGTGATCTGAGAGAATGCGGATGTGGTTCCTTGCAGCTCTACCGAAGAGTTGTCCGCAGGCAAATTGCAGTCGCCCTCTCAGTCTTTCGCCCTCAGATCTTTTGAGGAAACCATCTTGAATGATGTCCTTCAAGTGATGGCATAACTCGTCCACCCGGTCTTCGGTGTTGTGAACCCATGAGAGGCCTTCTCCGGACATTCCCAGGTCAAACTCCACTCCAAGAACTTTGCAAATGGTGTGGTAATCGACTAGCTTTTCAGCTGATAATTTCCAACCCAAAATGCTAAAGAATGAAGCTATCACCAGGTCAGTGTGTTTGGAGAATTCACTGACTTCCACCGAGAAAAAGTCATCGAAATACGATGACCACATGAGTCCTAGTAACTTGGTTCCCAACCGCCACAGAGCGTGGGCTATTCTAAGGAAGGCTGTGACTGACGCCACTGATCCAAAGGGGAGCACACTCTGCTGGAAAACTTTAGGACCTGAAGTGTTCGGACAGAAAACCACCAAGTAAGAATCCATCTCAAAGGCTTCGTCGCTCAACAGCACTTGCTTGTAAGCGTCCGCAAGATCCCACGTCTTGGCACTTAGAGTGGGCACCATTTCACGGCTGCAAGACGTCCTCATGAAGCAAGAGATCAAGGAAGCAATGTGATCGACCGTATGCACCGTGGCTGACTCGGTCTGAGAAACACTGCTGTTTACAAAGGAGGCTTTATAATCATCTATGGGGCGAACCTTATTCTTTTGTTTGACACCGAACCTCCTGGTTAAGGTGGCTCCTTGCGGCAAGGTCATCAGATCCTGGACTTCTGTCAAGAAACCTTTGGAAACCTCTTTCAAGGTCGCTGCATACAAGTCTCTGTCCAGGTCAGGGTCGCCTGATGACTTAACAGATTGCAAAATGCCTGCTCTGCCCAAGTCTGCCGCACGTCTGAGTTCTCCGCAAGAGATGACGGCTGGCCTGACCCTCCGGTTGAAGACGTGTGACTCCGGTAACATGCCTGTGAGGTCAAAGCCACCGGAAAGTTGAGTAACCAGGTCTACGTCTTCATGTCCGGCCTCAGCAAGCAGATTTCGGAGAAGGATAAGCTTCTTGTCCTTGAGAATTGTCCGGCGTCGGACTGACATGGTCTTTTTGAAGTCAGCTTCAAGTTCAGACAGGTCTCTGGACAAGCTTATCCACCTTTTGATTTCTTCCGTTCGTGTCAAGGCCATGTTTTTACCTCTTTTCAAGTTCAAAGCTACAACATCGCTTATCTCGTCAGGAAAAAGTGAATGAACTCTAGTGGGGTGTCCAACTTTGATGGCTTCACTCACAAATTTTTCTGGGCTTCTGTGGATGCCTATGGAGATTGAACTTGACTTATCATCAGTACTCGCGGAATACCCCCGGACTTGAGTACTGAGGCGTCTGGAGTTTATGGGTAAAGGTGCATCGATGGGGTGATTTTGGACGCTCTCAAATTCTGAGACCATCGATGGTAAACCTCGACGTGGTTGAATGTCGGTTGAGGCCCTCATGGTTTGGAGTGAGGCCTCCTGCAAAGCGAAAACGGGAGGACTGCAATCGTACCCGTCGGTTTGGAGTTGGTGCATAAGTTTGGCTGCAATGGCTTTGCACAACTCCCATGGATAGGCTGTTTCTTCTGCTGTTGACCACTTACCATCGGGAGTGCGGCCCCACGGATCGTGTGGGTGATCACCTTGGCAAAAACATTCTAGTGTTTGGAAGGTAGGGATGTTATGGACTAGTTTGGTCAGTTTACGACGAGAACTTCCATACCGACAGTGATGGAAAAGCACTTGGAGCAAAGGAAAAGTGCTCAGTAGTTTGACAAAGGGGGTAGTTTGCCACATGAAAGAGCGTCCTGGGTTTTCCACTGAAAAGTACTTTTGCAATTCCAAACACAACTGGATTAAGTCACAGGTGATTTCATACAATTTATTGGCCGCAGCAACTCGAATGGCTAAGGTTCCCGATAGGGTAGGGAGCCCATTGGGATATTGGTCTGTGCGGACGATGGGGGGATTCCATCGTCCTTTGCGTTGGATCAGGCGGGCTCTGGAACTAGTGCCACATGGAGGCGCGAAATGTACATAGCAGCATTGTGGCGATCTGATCAAATTCTTTACAAGTTCGAGGTGTTCCTCGTTGGTCAGATCGTATTTAATTATTGGACTTCGCAAGGTTTGAGGCAGTTTCAGGTCTATCCCAAAACTGTCTTGCAATCCCATGGCTCGAATTGAGGCTGTGAGTTTGCCGCTTCCTGCGAAGACCTCTATGGCAAAAAGTTGATTGAGCGGAGGCTTCTTCAAGAGAGGTGGCTCTCGCTTCGGATGAGCTGGTTCTTGCAAAATTGAAGCTTCCGCTGC